TTTTTTTTTTTTTTTTTTTTTTTTTTTTTTTTTTTTTTTTTTTTTTTTTTTTTTTTTTTTTTTTTTTTTTTTTTTTTTTTTTTTTTTTTTTTTTTTTTTTTTTTTTTTTTTTTTTTTTTTTTTTTTTTTTTTTTTTTTTTTTTTTTTTTTTTTTTTTTTTTTTTTTTTTTTTTTTTTTTTTTTTTTTTTTTTTTTTTTTTTTTTTTTTTTTTTTTTTTTTTTTTTTTTTTTTTTTTTTTTTTTTTTTTTTTTTTTTTTTTTTTTTTTTTTTTTTTTTTTTTTTTTTTTTTTTTTTTTTTTTTTTTTTTTTTTTTTTTTTTTTTTTTTTTTTTTTTTTTTTTTTTTTTTTTTTTTTTTTTTTTTTTTTTTTTTTTTTTTTTTTTTTTTTTTTTTTTTTTTTTTTTTTTTTTTTTTTTTTTTTTTTTTTTTTTTTTTTTTTTTTTTTTTTTTTTTTTTTTTTTTTTTTTTTTTTTTTTTTTTTTTTTTTTTTTTTTTTTTTTTTTTTTTTTTTTTTTTTTTTTTTTTTTTTTTTTTTTTTTTTTTTTTTTTTTTTTTTTTTTTTTTTTTTTTTTTTTTTTTTTTTTTTTTTTTTTTTTTTTTTTTTTTTTTTTTTTTTTTTTTTTTTTTTTTTTTTTTTTTTTTTTTTTTTTTTTTTTTTTTTTTTTTTTTTTTTTTTTTTTTTTTTTTTTTTTTTTTTTTTTTTTTTTTTTTTTTTTTTTTTTTTTTTTTTTTTTTTTTTTTTTTTTTTTTTTTTTTTTTTTTTTTTTTTTTTTTTTTTTTTTTTTTTTTTTTTTTTTTTTTTTTTTTTTTTTTTTTTTTTTTTTTTTTTTTTTTTTTTTTTTTTTTTTTTTTTTTTTTTTTTTTTTTTTTTTTTTTTTTTTTTTTTTTTTTTTTTTTTTTTTTTTTTTTTTTTTTTTTTTTTTTTTTTTTTTTTTTTTTTTTTTTTTTTTTTTTTTTTTTTTTTTTTTTTTTTTTTTTTTTTTTTTTTTTTTTTTTTTTTTTTTTTTTTTTTTTTTTTTTTTTTTTTTTTTTTTTTTTTTTTTTTTTTTTTTTTTTTTTTTTTTTTTTTTTTTTTTTTTTTTTTTTTTTTTTTTTTTTTTTTTTTTTTTTTTTTTTTTTTTTTTTTTTTTTTTTTTTTTTTTTTTTTTTTTTTTTTTTTTTTTTTTTTTTTTTTTTTTTTTTTTTTTTTTTTTTTTTTTTTTTTTTTTTTTTTTTTTTTTTTTTTTTTTTTTTTTTTTTTTTTTTTTTTTTTTTTTTTTTTTTTTTTTTTTTTTTTTTTTTTTTTTTTTTTTTTTTTTTTTTTTTTTTTTTTTTTTTTTTTTTTTTTTTTTTTTTTTTTTTTTTTTTTTTTTTTTTTTTTTTTTTTTTTTTTTTTTTTTTTTTTTTTTTTTTTTTTTTTTTTTTTTTTTTTTTTTTTTTTTTTTTTTTTTTTTTTTTTTTTTTTTTTTTTTTTTTTTTTTTTTTTTTTTTTTTTTTTTTTTTTTTTTTTTTTTTTTTTTTTTTTTTTTTTTTTTTTTTTTTTTTTTTTTTTTTTTTTTTTTTTTTTTTTTTTTTTTTTTTTTTTTTTTTTTTTTTTTTTTTTTTTTTTTTTTTTTTTTTTTTTTTTTTTTTTTTTTTTTTTTTTTTTTTTTTTTTTTTTTTTTTTTTTTTTTTTTTTTTTTTTTTTTTTTTTTTTTTTTTTTTTTTTTTTTTTTTTTTTTTTTTTTTTTTTTTTTTTTTTTTTTTTTTTTTTTTTTTTTTTTTTTTTTTTTTTTTTTTTTTTTTTTTTTTTTTTTTTTTTTTTTTTTTTTTTTTTTTTTTTTTTTTTTTTTTTTTTTTTTTTTTTTTTTTTTTTTTTTTTTTTTTTTTTTTTTTTTTTTTTTTTTTTTTTTTTTTTTTTTTTTTTTTTTTTTTTTTTTTTTTTTTTTTTTTTTTTTTTTTTTTTTTTTTTTTTTTTTTTTTTTTTTTTTTTTTTTTTTTTTTTTTTTTTTTTTTTTTTTTTTTTTTTTTTTTTTTTTTTTTTTTTTTTTTTTTTTTTTTTTTTTTTTTTTTTTTTTTTTTTTTTTTTTTTTTTTTTTTTTTTTTTTTTTTTTTTTTTTTTTTTTTTTTTTTTTTTTTTTTTTTTTTTTTTTTTTTTTTTTTTTTTTTTTTTTTTTTTTTTTTTTTTTTTTTTTTTTTTTTTTTTTTTTTTTTTTTTTTTTTTTTTTTTTTTTTTTTTTTTTTTTTTTTTTTTTTTTTTTTTTTTTTTTTTTTTTTTTTTTTTTTTTTTTTTTTTTTTTTTTTTTTTTTTTTTTTTTTTTTTTTTTTTTTTTTTTTTTTTTTTTTTTTTTTTTTTTTTTTTTTTTTTTTTTTTTTTTTTTTTTTTTTTTTTTTTTTTTTTTTTTTTTTTTTTTTTTTTTTTTTTTTTTTTTTTTTTTTTTTTTTTTTTTTTTTTTTTTTTTTTTTTTTTTTTTTTTTTTTTTTTTTTTTTTTTTTTTTTTTTTTTTTTTTTTTTTTTTTTTTTTTTTTTTTTTTTTTTTTTTTTTTTTTTTTTTTTTTTTTTTTTTTTTTTTTTTTTTTTTTTTTTTTTTTTTTTTTTTTTTTTTTTTTTTTTTTTTTTTTTTTTTTTTTTTTTTTTTTTTTTTTTTTTTTTTTTTTTTTTTTTTTTTTTTTTTTTTTTTTTTTTTTTTTTTTTTTTTTTTTTTTTTTTTTTTTTTTTTTTTTTTTTTTTTTTTTTTTTTTTTTTTTTTTTTTTTTTTTTTTTTTTTTTTTTTTTTTTTTTTTTTTTTTTTTTTTTTTTTTTTTTTTTTTTTTTTTTTTTTTTTTTTTTTTTTTTTTTTTTTTTTTTTTTTTTTTTTTTTTTTTTTTTTTTTTTTTTTTTTTTTTTTTTTTTTTTTTTTTTTTTTTTTTTTTTTTTTTTTTTTTTTTTTTTTTTTTTTTTTTTTTTTTTTTTTTTTTTTTTTTTTTTTTTTTTTTTTTTTTTTTTTTTTTTTTTTTTTTTTTTTTTTTTTTTTTTTTTTTTTTTTTTTTTTTTTTTTTTTTTTTTTTTTTTTTTTTTTTTTTTTTTTTTTTTTTTTTTTTTTTTTTTTTTTTTTTTTTTTTTTTTTTTTTTTTTTTTTTTTTTTTTTTTTTTTTTTTTTTTTTTTTTTTTTTTTTTTTTTTTTTTTTTTTTTTTTTTTTTTTTTTTTTTTTTTTTTTTTTTTTTTTTTTTTTTTTTTTTTTTTTTTTTTTTTTTTTTTTTTTTTTTTTTTTTTTTTTTTTTTTTTTTTTTTTTTTTTTTTTTTTTTTTTTTTTTTTTTTTTTTTTTTTTTTTTTTTTTTTTTTTTTTTTTTTTTTTTTTTTTTTTTTTTTTTTTTTTTTTTTTTTTTTTTTTTTTTTTTTTTTTTTTTTTTTTTTTTTTTTTTTTTTTTTTTTTTTTTTTTTTTTTTTTTTTTTTTTTTTTTTTTTTTTTTTTTTTTTTTTTTTTTTTTTTTTTTTTTTTTTTTTTTTTTTTTTTTTTTTTTTTTTTTTTTTTTTTTTTTTTTTTTTTTTTTTTTTTTTTTTTTTTTTTTTTTTTTTTTTTTTTTTTTTTTTTTTTTTTTTTTTTTTTTTTTTTTTTTTTTTTTTTTTTTTTTTTTTTTTTTTTTTTTTTTTTTTTTTTTTTTTTTTTTTTTTTTTTTTTTTTTTTTTTTTTTTTTTTTTTTTTTTTTTTTTTTTTTTTTTTTTTTTTTTTTTTTTTTTTTTTTTTTTTTTTTTTTTTTTTTTTTTTTTTTTTTTTTTTTTTTTTTTTTTTTTTTTTTTTTTTTTTTTTTTTTTTTTTTTTTTTTTTTTTTTTTTTTTTTTTTTTTTTTTTTTTTTTTTTTTTTTTTTTTTTTTTTTTTTTTTTTTTTTTTTTTTTTTTTTTTTTTTTTTTTTTTTTTTTTTTTTTTTTTTTTTTTTTTTTTTTTTTTTTTTTTTTTTTTTTTTTTTTTTTTTTTTTTTTTTTTTTTTTTTTTTTTTTTTTTTTTTTTTTTTTTTTTTTTTTTTTTTTTTTTTTTTTTTTTTTTTTTTTTTTTTTTTTTTTTTTTTTTTTTTTTTTTTTTTTTTTTTTTTTTTTTTTTTTTTTTTTTTTTTTTTTTTTTTTTTTTTTTTTTTTTTTTTTTTTTTTTTTTTTTTTTTTTTTTTTTTTTTTTTTTTTTTTTTTTTTTTTTTTTTTTTTTTTTTTTTTTTTTTTTTTTTTTTTTTTTTTTTTTTTTTTTTTTTTTTTTTTTTTTTTTTTTTTTTTTTTTTTTTTTTTTTTTTTTTTTTTTTTTTTTTTTTTTTTTTTTTTTTTTTTTTTTTTTTTTTTTTTTTTTTTTTTTTTTTTTTTTTTTTTTTTTTTTTTTTTTTTTTTTTTTTTTTTTTTTTTTTTTTTTTTTTTTTTTTTTTTTTTTTTTTTTTTTTTTTTTTTTTTTTTTTTTTTTTTTTTTTTTTTTTTTTTTTTTTTTTTTTTTTTTTTTTTTTTTTTTTTTTTTTTTTTTTTTTTTTTTTTTTTTTTTTTTTTTTTTTTTTTTTTTTTTTTTTTTTTTTTTTTTTTTTTTTTTTTTTTTTTTTTTTTTTTTTTTTTTTTTTTTTTTTTTTTTTTTTTTTTTTTTTTTTTTTTTTTTTTTTTTTTTTTTTTTTTTTTTTTTTTTTTTTTTTTTTTTTTTTTTTTTTTTTTTTTTTTTTTTTTTTTTTTTTTGAGAACTAAGTGCCATGATAATATAGATTATGAAGTTTGCAGCTTATTAATAATATATTCAATATTTTATTCTATTTGAATTTTTTCTCTAAGAGAAGAGGAATTTTTTTTTTATTGTGAAATATTAGGTAATAAAAACAAACATATCAGATCTAAAATAAAATTTCAAGAATATAAAGAGAAATATATTCGTGATAAATATAATAATAATGTAGCATTAAAATGAAAGTAGGTGTGCAAAACGTTAATATGAATATATTAGGTAATCTTGTTTAAGTAAAATTTATGACTTATTTTATTTAAAATATTAACTGCTTATTTAAATTTAATTACATAAAAGTGTAACATGAATTATTTTTGTCAGCAACAGATGAAATCCAGTATGATCACTTCTGTAATCACTCGTTCACAAGCATCTATACAAGTATGTCATATTTATATGTTTCTTAATCTATAATAATTGTAGACTTAAGTTCTGTTAATAAGACTTCTGTTCGAACCAGCTAATAAGACAAACAAATAAATTCAGGTCATTTTTCTTACTTTCATTGATTTCTGCATTCATTTCATTCCTTGACATATAGCATTTAATGTAACTACAATGAAGCTTTTCTTGATCTATTTCCAAAAGAATTATTTAAGTTAGAGAAAGTTGAAAGTTAGAAACAGAAAAGTCATTCCTTTCTTTATTAAGGAGGATCCAGTCTTGTTGAGCTATAGATGAAGTTAATAACAGATAGTATAATAAGTAATGTTGTGTTTCAGAGCACATAATCTCAAGAATTTTGACCATGTTATATGAGTAGAATTGAAATAATGAAAAAGAATCGGTTGTAATTTACATACTTTGTGCAATAGGATTGAAATATCTGAAGTGCAAAAGCTATAAAAACAAATTAGAAAAGAGCAGAATCTAAAAATCAACAATGCTGAAAATAGATTAAATAAAGTGGTAACATTTTATAGAAACATAACTCCTATTGCTGCAATTGTGTTTACTTAATTTTTCCCCTCTTTTATAAAAAAAATAGTTGTATTCCTCCTCAAAAGCCTTCTTCTCTGCTTGTACCAATTTCACAACAGAACCAAAATTTACTAGCCTATTCCAGTATCATCAGCCATGTTGAAAATTTTTGAACTATGCCTGTTTAACTGCATATAGAGAAACTCATTATAAATAGACTTTTTCCAATGCAACATTATGGTCTCACCAAGCATTTCCACTACCATCAGTTTAATAGCAATACAATCTATAATTTTGAAACTTTTAGAAAAAGTTAATTTGTATATACTATATATACTTAAAGCCTTTGATTCAATCATACTAGCTCATTTACTCAACATATTAAACAATGATTTCCAAATAGATAAGTCTTGTCTACTGACTTAATAATTATTTTTCAATTAGCTCTTTTAAAATTAGTGATTATTATAACTTTTTAGATTTTTGCTGCTTTGTGAAATACAACAGTAATTGTTTTAAATAATTTTCTTATTCACTACCTACATTAAATTTAACTGCACTCCAAAGTTCTTGCTTATGTTATTGATAAATTAACTGATAATGACCCACAATTACTACAATTTGATTTAACTATTCTGTATAACAGATTCTGCCATGAATATTAATAAAAGCATTGCCATGTGCTTTTTTATATTTGTATTTCCTAATTATCTGTGTTTAAGAGTAATATTTGATGATAAACTTTATTAAAGTTCTGAGACAGGAGAATATGATATTCTTTACTGGTAATTTTTAAATATGATAAAGAAAAGTTAGTTAAACATTTTACTATTTGACAGAGAATGTTGTAGCAACATTAATTAAATGGTATTGTCTTATCTGATAATATTTTTCTTTGTGTACCATTCCATCAAACTCAAAATATGTCTTGATTATATTAATTGCCATGTCACCTCAGTATTTTCTCTCACTTATTTTGTTTTGTGTTATTGAAAATGTACAAAATTATTGAAGACTTATTACATTTAGAATTTCATAAATATAAGGAAATCTACATAAAAACTGTTACATCATTGGGCTGCAATTTGAAAAAAATTGTAGACCTATAAATTCCCACCATTGTCTGTTCAGTGTCTGTCCTTTCTTAATCTCGAGAACAGAGTTAGATAGATGAAAGACAAGACCAGATATGGAAACCTCGGGCTGGAGGCCTTAGTTAATTATATATGAACTTCTGATGTAAACCGAAAAAGTCACATTATTTCAGTTCAATAAATAATTGCTCTTTTTATATAATTTTATCATACTTTTTATTCCTTATATTTTATTCTTTTATTTCTTCTTGATTAATGTTATAAATGGGAAGTTTTCCTTGTCTCATGGCATTACGTCTATTGTATAAATGAATGAATGAAAAACATTACTGCTATTAGAGCAGATAGAAACAAAACTTTAATGTTTTTGAAAATAAGCAGATTTTAAATTATTTGATTTTGTTAAAAATGTCTATAATAACAGTTTTAAAGACAAAAATTAATAAAATTACAATACTATTTATGATTTATCTAACAGCAAATAAAACCATTTATGTGAAAATTATTTTGTTTATTTGTTTATTAATGTTATATATTTTAATTTTTCTTACAGATATCAATGTATTCACCAAAGAAACCTGTTATAAAGTAAGTAATATTCACAACTAAGTAAGATAAGTGTTCACTGAAATATCACTGAAATATATAAATGTAGAAAAAAATACATATTATTTATTTATCTTAAATATTTATTACAATGATATATTTTAATAATTTTAATATTCATTCTTATTACATTTCTATCTTTTGTTCTCTCTTAATTTTTCATTGTAACATTCTTTTTCTTTTTGAAGTCTGAGGAAGGCCTGTTAATCAGTATTTAATCACACATTAACCAAATAAGATTGTATGCTTAGAATGTTTAATTATTTTATCATTTAAGAAACAAAATTTTTAAATGCAATATTTAAATCTTCATAGAAAATAGAAAAACTTTATAATTTGTTCATTTTTCTACTTTAAAATTTAAAAAAAATTTTTAATGCTGTTTTAAGCAAAAGTTGTGATAAAAGATTCTTTATATGCTCATTTAAATATTGTCAAAGTACCAACTGACATTTAAAAGTTCAATAGAAGTAGTTAAGTAATAAGATGTATAAATTTTATAACTAATGTATTTAAGTTAGTGTTAATTAAAAACATTATATTACAATTAAAACAAAAAATAGATATATTTGCTTGCATATTACTGATATTTATTATTCATTATTTTTGAATTAACACTATGTATTTTTTAATAGAAAAAAAGTTTTTGTTACTTATATCAGATTTTTTTATAATTCCCTCATATATAGCTGATGATATTTATAAAAAAATTTTGATTTCTAATTATTATAGGTCTTATAGAAATTATTGATATTTACTATGTTAATTATGAAATGCTTTTTAAAATTCAAGNATTGAATGAAGATACTTAATCAAAAAATATTCAAATAAACCAATTATTTTATGTTTACATAAAAGTAAGAGTTTCTGGATTTTAATATTACTTGACTTACATAGTAAATGTGTACAAAAGAGAAAATTGTAGAAAATCAAATATGTAGGATTTGTTAAGTGAAATCTGTTAATATTTAATAGCTTATGTAAAAATTAATAAATAGAAATATGAAAGATTCAATCAATACATAAAAATTGATTAATGAAATATTCTTCAAGGATGAATCAAATTTTAATTTTACAGATATTCTAAAATCTACATTATACTCTTAAATATATTTTTCTTAATATTCATTTTATGATTAAAATATATTTTAATGACTACTGTAAAGAATTATAATGGCTTTCCTTATTTGCTAATCTTTCATTTCTGTATCAACTCATCTAAATAGCTTAGCAGGAAAAACGTTATAAAATAATTTAAAAAAAAAATGCAGTATCAGTTTACATTTAAAAATTATATATCATATTTACATTATAATAAATACATCCTTTGAATGCTTTTTTTTCTAGATCCTTGTAATATATCGCTTACCAGTTGCTCATTATACTTGTCAAAACTTTAAAAATAATGAACTTAAGGATTTTACATTATAGAAAAGGCATAGATATGATAATCTAATGCTTACTTTCATGTATACATATATTAATAATAATGAACTTAAGGATTTTACATTATAGAAAAGGCATAGATATGATAATCTAATGCTTACTTTCCAGTATACATATATTAATATTAATTATACAATATGTACAATTATTTTTTGAATTTTTTTTTCCATATTGTTGATTATACTGAAGTTTTGATTGAGAGCTTGTTGCATTTGTAATGTAAATAGAGATTATATTGATATATTGTTTAATGCTTAAGTACTTACTGACATTATTTAATAATTTATCTGTAGGCTCCTTACCTATCCTCCTCCACCACAAACTGGAGGTATTACAATTACATCAGAAGATTTAGAGTGCCTAAATACTGGAGAATTTCTCAATGATGTTATAATTGATTTTTACTTGAAGTAAGTTTATAGTTTATTAATGTAAATAATAATAATTAGAGTTTTTTCATTAATACTTTTTACTCTGTGAACCCTAGAGATGGCAGTATCTAAAAATTTTCAAGAAATTTTCATAGTCAATATTTTCTTTAAATTATATTTTTTATGCTATTTTATCAAACCACAGTTTTTTTATGTTATATTCTTACTATATAGATCAGGGGTGTCCAACCCGCGGGCCGCATGCGGCCCAAGGCAAGTTACAATGCGGCCCAATAAACGTGTAAATAAAACCGACAAATGTTTTAATTTATTATTATTTATTTATTTCAACGGCATAAACTCAAAAAAAAGTTTCACAAAGCCGTAAACCTTTATTCATATTTTATTTTTGAATGGAAAGAAAATATTTTCAAATACTTGGAGATGTGTGAATGCGGAAGGATTACTAAATAAAGCTGGAGTTGTGACTCAAAGGATTATAGACCCAAATTTGGGAAAAGGAGGGAAAGAT